AACCCTTCACCCAATCACAATAAAAAGATTTACAAAAGAAGAAAAGAATCACCTCCTCCCTGATATTCTCTCTAAGTAACTGTTTTCTCTTACTCTGAATTGCATAAGACTTGACCTTTATGGTTTAAATACTGCAATCTCTGACTTGTTTATAACTTAAAATATTATTTTCTGTTTCAAGTATATATGTATGATTGTGGTACAATAAATTTACTTGATAAGGCTCGTCTAGCCAGTCTTTGTAACTTACACCAAATGATTGAGTGTGGCCATGCAAGTAGGGTGTGTGGGACTTCAACACAAGGACTAATGAGTTTTGCCGTGTTGCTTGATTTAAAAGGAGCCATCTGAGAAGCAAAAATAGATCATCCCAGGACCATCAAGAAGGAAGATCCACAAGCAAAGTACTAGATCCCTGAGTGGAAAAACAATGGTGATAAAGGAAGTTGCAGAAGGAGTGATGTGGAGAAATAGCAGCAGGTTTCCAGGTCCACAGACCAATCAAAGCTGAATACCTTTCAGTAGGGTGATGTCTTGAAGAATTGGGTGCCCTTTGGGCATTTATCAGCAGCACTAAAGGAGCTTGTAACACTTGCCCAAGCAGGCCAGAGGCTAAGGGGTCATGTGACTGAGAGGCTAAGGGCAAAAAGAAGGTGTGTCTGCAATAAATGAGAAGAGGGATTCCTGACTGGAGAACTACTGTATCTGGAGTTGTTTCCAATCCTGAATTGTACCCTGTCCATTCTCTAATAAATCCCATAATCATGAGTATTGCCAAGCAGAGAAGTAGAGTGTCATGGGAGGAATGATTGACCACAGAATAGGATAAAGAAGGTTGGAGGGTCTGACCTCATAGGAATTGGCCTTCCCCCTTATGAAGCCAGAGGAGGTCAAAAGACATGGCTCCTATGCCATTGAACCGCAAGGCTGGGAGTTCAAGCTCTCCAGCTGCTCCTCAGAAACACGATATAGGGTCTCTATGGGTCAGAACCAACTTGATGACACTTAACAACAACAAAATATCCAAAATAGACTGTTATCTTCTTTAAGATGAGGGTACATCTTTTGTTTCTTATGCTTTACTACTACTATTAATTCCTTTATTATACATTGAAAATAAAAATAGATTAAAATAATAATTACTGTCCAATTTCTTAACAGATACCAGAAGTATTAAGCATTTTCCAAATCCATTTACACTGAGTATAAATGTAGATTTTAAAGCCTGAAATAAGTATGAAACTTAACAGACAGTAGTATCGTAAGAATTGTTTAATCTAAAAGTAACACAAAATAAGAGTGCTTTTTTATATTAAAACACATAAATGCTGTAAAAGTGGGAGAGAAACAGCAAATACCTTAAAAGGGAAAATCCAATTTTTATTAAACATGTAATCTGAAAAAAAGAGGAATTCAAATTGAGCAGAAATAATATAAGACTTTTCCTTAATTATACAATAGTCTCTAAGAAGTGTCTGTACAAATATGAAAAATTAATTGCTGATGATTTTCCAATGACCCCAGAAAATATACTGTTTGTTTATTTAGGGTTTTTTATAGCCTCCATCTCCCAACAAATTGAAATTCTATTGTATTATATCGCTTCCCTATACTAATTACATACGTGTGTTTGTCTTTTCCTATGCTGCTCATGACTTTTGAGATGCAAGAAATAGATTTTATATTAGTAATAGAAAAAAAAATTCTTGAAGTATCTGTTATGAGAAGTGAAGAAAATAAATAATTTAGTAATGCTGAACATGCTTACCAGAGCAAGTACAGAGAGAGACATAACTAGATCCAAAGAGAGTAAGGAAGGCTCTCAAAGATTTTGTGAAGACAGAGAAACAATAAGAGCCAACAATCAAAAACAAAACATACAGAATAAGTCAGCATCAGAGTTGAAAAGAATCAATGAAGTAGTATCTGAATTTTCTTAGATTTCAAGGTAAAATGATCACACAATTTTTCATCCAACTTGGAATACTGAGGCCTGTTAATAATTACAACACAACAATAGGTGTAAACAAGAACTTTCCCAGAGAATCCAAGCTACATGGCCACCCTATTTTAGGGGTTACTGCTTCACTGATGTTGAAAACTAGTGCACATTGAAATGTGAACACAGCTGAAGCATTATTGTTTCTGAATGCCAGGCATGAAATTCTGAAAATACAGTAGCAAGAAAAACAGCCCGCATGTAGCTTCGAGTCTAGTGAGTGTGGGTATTAGCTTCAAAGGCTTTCTGAAATTAGATACAATCAAAATCCAAATCATTGTTGTTAGGTGCTGTTGAGTAGGTTCCAGCTTATAACAATCCTATGTGTGACAGAATGCAACACTGGCTGGTCCTGCGTGCTCCTCATAATTGGATGTTTGAGCCCATTGTCACTGTCACTGTGTCAATCTACCTTGTTGAGGGTCTTCCTCTTTTTCATTGAACTTCTGTTGTACCAAGCATGGAGTCCTTTTCCAAGGACTGGTTCATCCTGACAAAATGTCCAAAGTACTAGAGACAAAGTGTTATCATCATTACATCCAAGGAACAATCTAGCCATGGTGGTGGTGGTGGTGGTGGTGGTGGTGTGCCATGGAGTTGGTTCTGACTCATAGTGACCCTGCACAAACTTTCCAAGGCTGTAAATCTTTACAGGAGCAGAAAGCCTCATCTTTCTCCTGCAGAACATCTGATAGTTTCAAACTGCTTCCAAAATAGACTTGCTTGCTCTTCTGGAAGTTCATAGTACATTCAGTAGTCTTCACCAACACCATAATCATTTGGTGTTTCAGCAATTATTCTCCATTCTTTCTTATTCATTTTACAGCTTTCACATACATATGAGGTGAATGAAAGACCACGGCTTTCATAGTCAGGAATACACCTTACTCCTCAAAGTCACATCTTTGCTCTTTAATACTTTAAAGAGGACTTTCACAGCAGCAAAAGACTTAATAATCTAGATTACATATGTTTATTTACTGCTGGTTACACACAAACCACTATTAAAGGTGCTGAGGGCAAAAAGGAGTCCTGGTGTGGCTCTGTGGGTTAATGCGCTGGACAGTAAAGTCAGTTTGAACCTCAAGGTTGGCAGTTCAAGCTCACCAGTTGCTCCTTGGAAACCCTGTACAGGGTAGTTATGGGATGGAACCGGCTTGACAGCACTCAATAACAACAACAACCAGGGCAATAAAATTAAGACAAGACTGGTTTGTCTTTATAAGATGTTATTAATCGAGTAAGGAAAAGGATCATGTGTAGAAAATTAAATATCATCTCAAGGTAGCCATGGGAGCAATAAAAACAAAGAAACAAACAAACAAAAAGAAAACAACAACAAAAAACTCCAAACCAATTAAATTAATTTAAATAAATTCAAGTAAATTCTGACTCGTGGCAACTTACGTATGTCAGTGTAGAACTGTGTCCATGGGTTTTCAGTGGTTGTGATCACTCAAAAGTAAATCACTAAGCTTTTGTTCCAAGGTGCCTATAGGTAGATTTAAACCACCAACCTTTTGTTTAGTAACTAGGCACAGGAAACCATTTGTGCCATGACAAATTAATTTTAATGAAATAGTTGCTAAAGCAGTTCATAGAGGAGAACTTTTCTCAGAGTGATGAGAAGAGAGACTTTATAGCTAGCGGTATTTCCCCTGGGTCCTGAGGACCTGGTAGGATTTGGGTAGATAGAGAAGAGAAGAGACAAGAAAGGTGGAATAAGCAAAGGGCAAGGAAATGTATGGTGTGTTTGAAGGACCACAAATCATCTAGTATAAAGTAGTAGAGATGGAAGGACTGATGTTTGACTCTTAGAAATAGTTGCCTCAATATATTTGTTGTTTTTAAGTACCATGGAGTCGGTTCTGACTCACAGTGACCCTGCACAGGGTTTCCAAGGCTATAAATCTTTATGGGAACAGGAAGCCTCATCTTTCTCCTGCATATGATATATATATATTTATGTCTAAGCAGTAGTAGAAATAGCAGAACCACCATTATTAGGTAGTTAGAACAGAACAGGGGCTAACCACAGATCTAGGTAGTTAGAATAGGAATAGGGGCTAACCACAGATCAACCACACAACCACAAAGAATGCAGGAAACAACCTGACCTGCAGTAGATTCTAGAACAAGGAAAGGTCGTTGACTGAGTATTTTTTGCTTAGAAAATGGACACTTTAGAGGAGGTATAGGTTGAATCAAAGTGATGATGCATGCACAGAGAAGAATAGGACTGATCTGTTGTGAACAAGTAACTAATCATAACACCACTATAATAAATCAGCATTATGGAGTCCTGATGTGGTGCTGTAGGATAAACACTTGACTGCTAACCACAAGGTCAACAGTTAAAACCCTATACAGGATCCTCGGAAACCCTACACAAGGTAAGAACCCACTCGACGACACTTAACATGGTTAGCTCATGAATAAAAATATAACAGACTGATGTAACGGGGGAAAAGTACATCAAACCCAAGAAGAAATGACCAATTATGATAAGAAATTATGCTAGGAAAACACAGAAATTAGGAGAAAAGTATCAGGAGACCCTGGAGCCCATTCCAGAGAAAAACAGCATAAAAAATGAAACCAAGAACTCATTCTCTCTGTGAGAATGGCTATAACTTATTAAATCTCTTTCTTGCTTAGACCTCCATCTCTCTGACTCCTTTCATGTGCATATTGTGCCTGTTGTTGTTGATTAATGCCATGGAGCCATTTCCGACTTATACTGACCCTGAATAGGGTTTCCGAGGAGCAGCTGGTGGATTTGAACTGCCCATCTTGCAGCTCAAACTGACTCTGCAGTCCAGCGCATTAACCCACAGCACCACACCAGGACTCCATATTGTGCCGATGCCCCACCAATTTTTTGGAGAGACAGTAGGACTGAGTCAGAACATCTCATTCATCTGCACTGTTAGACCATCATGCGCCACAGCTTTCATTTGTGATGGACAAGGGGTTGTGGATATCCCTGGACATCTCCTACCTTTTCCACAGCACTGGTGACCTCCCAACCACTTTTGGCTGCCAGTTTCCTGAGAGCTTCCACATTGTCATTACTCAGGGATGCCTAAAACACAAATATTTTAAACCTGTGTGTTCAAAACACAGATAGGTAACTAACTATTTTCTGCTTACAAAATGGACACTGTTAGAGGAGGTATATGTTGAATCAAAGTGATGGTGTTGAGTTTAGAACTAAACTGCAATTAACATAATGTGTCTCTCAAACTCTTAGTTTAGAATCCAGACAAGTTAACATAAGTCCTGTATGCTTAGAAATTACTATCATTGTAATGTGTGCCTGGAAAAAAACAACAACAGTTTATACTTTAATATGAGTTAAAATACACATGTACTAAATAAACTTGATTTTTTCCTTACAATATATGGTATAAAACTTGGAGATGACTAATACTTTGTTGCTATTCTTTAAAAAAAATGCAAGCTTGTGAGCATGGTAGTCACCACAATTCATGGTAAGACACCAGTTTTCAATGAATAGAGCTGCTTGAATGCATTTTATGGCAGGAATCCTAGGTTTGTACTTTGGAAATTGGAGCTAGAATTGTAAACGGCAGTGAAGCAACTGGTTAGTAACTAGTTACTGAGAGTCTAGCTTTGTTTCATTGTAAAATGATTGGCGGATATCACCTAACCTTTCAGCTAACCTTTGTAGACATGATTTCATTCAGTTAAACCAAGTGATTTTAGCTTTTTAAAAAAATGGGATTTTCACATGAAGTGCTCCAAATCATAATACTGTCACCTGGTTGCTTATATCCCAGTGCACAGAAAGTGGAATCTCTTCTTTGTGGGAAGTAACATATTTTCTGGGAAAAAAAAAAAATTGAATGTTAAATAGAGTTTTATTCTTTGCATCTGACACACAAGAGTAACCATGGCACTTTCTTTAACTGAAAAATCAGCAGTATTAAAAAGCTGTTTTTTTCAGGTGAAACAATCAAGAACACAATTTTCATCATAGCCCCAGAGACGTCTTGTTCTAAAACAAACAAACAAAAAACCCAGTTTTGTTCTACACATGTGGATATAAAGACCAAGAGAGTACCTTCTGTTATATAATACGTCACACAACAGAAGAGTCCGTAAAAGCCTTTTACTTTACAGGTAGACCCCGAATGACAACATCGGCGTGTGGGTGGTTGAATCATACTTAAGACTATCTGTTGTTGTTTTTTAAAAATACATCTTATTGTCAGTAATATGGCTCAAATACAATGATGTAGTGCATAAATTGTTTTATCCCAGAAGTGTGTACCTAATGCCTTGAAATATTACATGTTGTCGTTAAGTGCCGTCGAGTGTGTTCTGACCCATAGTGACCCTGTTTAGGCTTTCCAAGGAGTAGCTGGTAAGCTTGAACTGCCAACCTTGCAGTCCAGCACATTAAACTGTGTTTTTCAATATTCTATTGCTACAAGATAATGCACCAGGACATCCTCTTCATGTAGATAGTCTAAATCCAGATGTAAAAGTGGTGTGCCTACTTCCCAGTACCACACCTGTGATTCAGCCTATGAATGAAGGTATAATCACCACTTTCAAAGCATACTATCTATGGGCTATATTTGCTCAGGCAATAGCTGCAACACACAGAGTTATGGGAACACTACACAATTCCTGCAAGAATCTTCTTCAGCGTACCCAGAACATTATACCCTCATGGAAGAACATTATGAAAACACATATAAAGGGTTTTGAAAAATTGCTGAGTCCTGTGAACACTTTCTAAGCACTTAATCTGGCTAATATGATGAAAAAGACTGGCGACAAGAATGCTGAATTGAGAACTTGATATGGCCATTGTAGAACAGTTCATAGAGCACAAAGAAGGGGAATCAACAGATCAGGACTTAAAACTTGAAGGCGAAAATTTTTCTGAAGAAGAAAGAAATAATGAGGGACAGTAAAGAGAGAAATGGTCAAAAAGTTTACAATGAAAGGATTAACTGAATCTTTTTTCTATGCTTCACTTGCTAAAAGTATAGATCCAAACACTGATCATTTCTCTAAAGTCAATAGCATGTTCAGGAAGCAGTGAGATGCTACTGCAAAATATATGAAGGAAGAAAGAAAAGGACCTTATAGACAACTGTCACTAATTTTCAGACTAGAAATGCCATCCCTATTCCCAGGGATAACCCAGATGATTGAGAATTTTCCACAAATGGAGTTTATTAAAACAACTAACAAAATGCCTGCACTGTCCAATTCTTCTTCATCACTGGAATAAATTTTTATGATTTTGTATCTTGCATGTATGTATTCTTATTATTTTATTTTATTATTCCACCACTTCTCTGTTAGTTTACCATACAGTGTTGTTCTTCATGTTGTTGTGATACTGAAAATTATCCCAATGGTATTTTGAATACCAGCAGGGTCATTCATGGTAGACAGGTTTCAGTGGAGCTTCCAGACTAAGACTAGGAAGAGAGACAGACTACTCCCAAATACTTAGTCAAGGAAAACCTTGTGGATAGCAGTGGAACACTGTCAGATATAATAAGCATACTGAATTTAAAACATGATAAAGAGCACCAGAATATTGTCAGATGTAATGTTGGAAGATGAGCCCCGCAGGTTGGAAGGTACTGGAAATACAACTAGAGAAAAAGCTGCCTCCTCAAAGTAGAGTTGATCATGATGACAAATATGGAGTAAAGTTTTTGGAACCTTCATGTACTGATGGGGCACAACTCAAAATGAGGGGAAATAGCCTTAAACATCCATAAAAATTAGAACATTGAATGTATGAAGCATAATTCTTGGAAAATAGAAAAGTTGTCAAAAATGAAATGAAATGCATAAACATCGATATTCTAAGCATTAGTGAACTAAAGTGGACTGCATTGGCCATTTTGAATGTGACAATCACATGATTTACTATGCTGGGAATGACAAATTGAAGAAAAATGGTGTCACATTCTCATAAAAAAGAACATTTAAAGATCTATCTTGAAGTACAATGATGTCTGTGATAGGATAATATCCATATGTCTTCATGGAAGACCAGTTAATACAACTATTATTCAAATTTATGCACCAACCACTAAAGTCGGTGATAGTGAAATTGAAAAATTCTACCAATTTCTTCAGTCTGAAATTGATCAAGCATGCAATCAACATGTATTGGTAATTATTGGCAATTGGAATACAAAAGTTGGAAACAAAAAGGAAGGATCAGTAGCTAGAAAACATGGCCTTGATGATAGAAATGATGTTGAAGATTGCATAATAGATTTTTGCAAGGCCAATGACTGCCTCGTTGCAAATACTTTTTTTAAACAACATAAAAGACAACTATACACATGAACCTCTCCAGATGGAACACACAGAAATCAAACTGACTATATCTGTGGAAAAGATGGTGGGAAAGTTCCATATCATCAGCCAAAACAAGGCAGACTGTAGAGCAGATCATCAATTATTCATATGCAAATTCAAACTGAAGCTGAAGAAAATGAAAACAAGTTCACGAGAGCAAAAATATCACCTTGAATATATTCCACCTGAATTTAGAGATCATCTGAAGAACAGATTTGATTAATTAGACATTAAAGACTGAAGACCAGAAGAGTTGTGGGATGACATCAAGAATATCATACAGGAAGAAAGCAAAACATCATTAAGAAGACAAGAAAGAAGGAAAGGAACAAAACGGATGTCAGAAGAGACTCTGAAACTTGCTCTTCAGCGTAGAGATGCTAAAGCAAATGGAAGGAGTGAGGATATAAAAGAGCTAAACAGAAATTTTCAAAGGACAGTTCAAGAAGACATAATCAATTAGTACTACAATGTGCAAAAACCTGGAATTAGAGAACAAAAAGGGAAGAACATGCTCATCATTTCTCCACCTGAGGGAACTAAAGAAAAAATTAAAGCCTCAACTTAACATATTGAAGAATTCTCGGGGCAAATATTGAATGATGCAGAAATAATCAAAAGAAGATGGAAGGAATACACAGAGTCACTGTACCAAATAGAAATGACCAATGTTCAACCATTTCAAGAGGTAGCATATGATCAAGAGCCAATGACCCCCTCATTCCCATCCCCTCTGTACACAGGGATGATAAGGATGGGCAATTTAGACTTTGGCTATATAAAATGGGGTGAGGGCTATAAAGGCATGAAGTGACTGGCTTACAAGTTTTCAAGAGGGAGTTTAGTTTCAGAGTGTGCAGGGGAAGGTAGAATCCCCACTGAATAGTTTTCATTTTGTCTAGATGAGTCTTGTGAAAAGAGATGGGGATAAGATTCTTATGATTCAATTGTGAGTACTTGTTATCGTGACTAATTGTGATGGTCACAACTGTAAAGGTAGAAGTTTTGTAACAAAAGGGGAGGGTAGTTAATCTTACAGTCCAGGAACAGAGGACCCACCCTAGGACCATCAAGGGAGAAGAGCACGAGTGGAATTTGAGACTCTATCCTGAGAATTAATGACATCAGAGATGGAGGCAGAGATGATGACACAGAGGGGTAGAGCATCTGAAGACTCTAGACTCATGGAAAGAGAAACGCTGTGTGCTGGCATCCAAGGGGCAGACTTGCAGAATGTGCCCTTTGGTTGTTTTAATGTTTATATATTCCTGAGTGTTTTTGGTGTACGTACAAAATAAAAACCCAAAACAGAGGGAATTGGAGGAAGCAAATGCTGTTGAATGATGATGTGTGGAGGGAATTGTAATCATTGCAATGAAAGGAAATATGATATGATGAGTGTAAAACTGATGTTCTCCCATGTAAACTATCACTCAATTCACAATAAAAACTCAAAAACAAACAAACAAAAAACAATAAATGAAAGAGCCAGTGATCTGAAGGAAGAAGTTCAAGGTGCACTGAAAGCATTGGCAAAGAATAAGATTCCAGGAATTGATGGCATACTAATTGAAATCTTTAAAAAAAAAAACAAAAAACTGATGCAGCACTGGAAGCACTCACTCATTTATGCCAAGAAATGTGGAAAACAGTTACTTGGCCAACTGATTGGAAGAGATACCTATTTGTGCCCATCCCAAAGAGAGGTGACCCAGCCGAATGCAGAAATCATAGAACAACATCATTAATACTTCATGGGAGCAAAATTTTGCTAAAGACAATTCAAAACCAATATTGTGGAGAATTACTATTCCAGAATAACCAACTGTGCACATACAGAACTTGTCTATAGACCAAGAGGCAGTCATTCAAACAGAACAAGGGAACACTGAATGGTTTAACATTAGGAAAGGTGTGTTCCAGGTTTATTTTCTTTCACCATATGTCCTCAATTTGTGTGGTTCTGTAGGATAAGCACGGGACCGCAAGTTCAGTTTGAACCACAAGGTCAGTGGCACAAACTTATCAGCTGCATCTTGGAAACCCTATACAGGATTACTATGAGTCGGAATGTACCCAATGGCACTTAACAACAACAATAACAACATTCAATCTGTATGCTGAGCATATAATCTGAGAAGGTGGATTATATGAAGAAGAACATGGCATCAAGATTAGAGGAAGACTCATTAACAATTTACAATATGTAGATGATACAACCTTGCTTGCTGAAAGTGAAGAGGACTTAAAATACAGT